GTGAATGCTGGGCAATCTTCTCAGAAATGAAGACACTTGCAGCAACAGAAACAAAGAAAAGAGTACTGAACTGTTATGTAATATCGTTCTTCGTATATGGCAGTGAAAGTTGAAAAATCTTCAAGCAGACTTCAAGCAACAAAAACAACGAAAAAATACTGAACTCTTATGTCATAACGATCGTCGTATATAAGCAGTGAATGCTGGAAAATCTCAAAAAATGAAGAAGAATTGGAGCAACAGAAACAAAGAAAAGCGTACTGAACTGTTATGCAATATCGGTCCTCGTATATGGCAATGAATGCAGAAATATCTCCTCAGAAATGAAGAAAAGACTTGAAGCAACAGAAGTCCGGTTCTACAGGAGGATAGTGACGATAATATGGTCCGAACCTGTGACCAAGGACGAATTTTTTAGTGAAAATGGAAACAAAAAGGGCACTTAACATCAGAAAGAGGCAGTAGAAACATATAGGGCACACAATGATAAAAGGGGACTAGGAAAACAGGACAGACTGAAGGAAATAAAGACATATGGCAGTTGTGCATAACCTACCTAAAGAGCTTGTGTTAGTGGATGGCAGAACAGGGATACGAAGAGATAGCTAAGTGACAAAATTTACTAAGAGCTACAAAGGGTAGGAAATTGCGTAAAGCCATGATCACACAAGTCAGGAATATCTTTTCCTTGCTAATGAAGTTTTTCCTTGTATTTCAAATAGTGCTTTTTTTTAAATATGTTTGCTTAAAGATGGCTTGTAAAACTCCTCCATGAAAAATGCAAGCATATGCACTATATACAACGCAGATAATGCACTATATAAAACGCAGATAATCTAACATAATTTAAACAAAGTCAATAATTTAAACAACACAAGTAGGATAACCCAACCACGAACAGAAAGAAATAAAATAAATTAAAATGAATAAAATAAACAAAAAGATGTAAATAAATTAAGTAAATAATAAACAAATTACAACAAAACTATGAATACACACATATACACAATATCTGCCCATTAAGTAATTGTATTCCTGATCAATCAAAATTAGTAAATAATTATATAGGCCACACTACATGTTTGACGCGCAGACTCACACTATACCTTTCTGACCATAGTTCAATTAAATCTCATGGAGACCTACCGGACACTATTCGTAACATACTTGTTGACACACTAAAAATAATGGAAGTTTTATTAATAAAAGCGAAAAAAACAACACTTAATAACATTAACTATGAACATGGACACAATATATTGACCGTGTTTTGAAAAATGAAAACATTATATAAATACATACATGCAACAAACTATTTCTTGTTCAACAGTTAAAATATTTAATCCTTGAAAATGGCTAAATGTTTACCCGAAATCTCCTGGAAAAAAATAACATTCAGACAATTTTTATATAATTTATCATCTGAAAAGAAAAAATTATTAGATCGCATGGGAAATTGTATAAATAAACTAAATCAAAGCACCTTATCTGTCGTGTTCAGTGAAATGTGTATGAAAGAAGGATTGCTGCCTAAATACACTAATTTTAAAGTATATATAACAATATATAAGTATATAACATGTATAATATAACAAGTATATATAACAAGTAAAAACAATAATAGTAATAATCAGCAATAAATAAGTAATAAATAATGAGAAAAAGGTATCAAACAATATTTTAAATTAACTGTAAATAAACGCCTTTGAATCCACAATTATTCCTACTCAGTAGACTCGAGAATAATTTCAAACAACCTTTACTGCCCATCCAATGACCAGTGGGTTAATACAATAGACATTGCTACTCATAATGAGCCATTGATCAGTGTATAGAAATAGTATAGCTAAAACACAGCACATATGGTCTGAAGATTGCCTTAAATAGACTGCCACCGCTCGGTGTTGACCTCAGTGTCCACTTTTTTATTTATTTTTACCTATCAATATAGCGTACCATAAAACTATATTTTTTGTTATATATATATATATATATATATATATATATATATATATATATATATATATATATATGAAATGAAAATGAATCGAATTTAAATTCCAACGTTTGTAACATTAATTTAAAAATGGCTCAACTCAATCTAATAATAGAGGATATTACATTCAAACATGTAGACAAACTTTACAAGGAAAAATCTTAAAACTGGCAAGGACGTGTAGAACCTTATACGAACCTTGTTTTTTGTGTGTATAGAAGAAAATGCAGATCATCAGATTTTTGAATAGGGAGGATTTATTAAATTAAAAATTTGAATTAACTGTCAATTGTAAGCACATTTTACCTTTAACCCTGCAATCTTGTTAGAATTTGAAATTTCACATTTGCTTCTTCTTATATGTTAGAATAACCTTATTGTAACCATATAAAGCTTATCTTTAGTCAGTTCTTATTCGTTGTAGTATAGTTTTTACATTATTTTTCTAACATTGCTGGTAATATTTAGTCTAGAGGTATATGTGTTTGGCCGACATTTTGGCATTTTCCATTGATTTGTTTTATTAACACCCTATATAAGACCCTTTAGTTAACAGTTGCATTCAATTGGATACGATCCACATATTTTAATTATTTTATTTATTAGATCCATATGCTAAATGTTTTTTTTTTGTTTAATTCATTTATTTTAAATATTTTGTTTGATCTTTAGGATTTTGTTATTTTGTTTAATTATTTTATTTTCTTTTATTTATTTCTTAAAGCGCCATATTATTTCTCTGCTATAAAATTCTAACTTTTAACTTACAAGGTACGCGATTGTCTAGTGTATATATACGTTTCTTTCTCATAGTAAATGTCAGCTGCCTTTGTTAACATTGTAGCAAACGTAAGATTTGTTTAAAAAATAACGTTAAAGTTCGTAACAATTTTAAATGTGTGTTTCATGACCTCTTAATTAGCATAGGCCATTTTGATTGGTTTAATATAAACATAACAATTTCCGCTGCTACCCATCCTCTACGCTTTCGTATTTCTTTTTTTTTTATATTTCCTTTTCTCCGAAAAGAGATTGTAGCTTGAGTCTTTCCTGCTCTTTTTCTTTTCTTTCCTTTCTTCGCGTGAAAAAAAAAAACGTTGCATGCAGTTGAAATCCAAATATATTGTACTAATCAGTCATTTACTAACGTCTGATGAGATGTGTTGATACACTTCGAAACGTGAGTGCATTTGTGTAGCGTTTATCTACATGTTTGAAAGTAATATCCTATGATATATATATATATATATATATATATATATATATATATATATATATATATATATATATATATATATAAAAAGAAAAACAGACCATTTTAAAAGGTATCATTATAATAATTTATTTCACAGAGTCTTTTTTAAAGGACGCCGGATCATCAGATAGCACTTGGATGTGCTATCTGATGATCCGGCATCCTTTAAAAGGACTCTGGTGAAATAAATTATTATAATGATACTAAAATGGTCTGTTTATCTTTTAAATATTAGATCTTAATTTACATTCAGCTCTTAGGATTTCATCCTCCTTGGGATTACCCATACGGATTAGCAAGTTCTTCATAAATTATAATATATATATATATATATATATATATATATATATATATATATATATATATTCAATTATCATTATCATAAATTCTGCTACTTCTTTTGAATCTACTTGTCTTTACAGCTTCAATGTCCCCAAAAGATGCGCAAAATGTCTTCTCATTTCGATCTCAGTCCCCTTTGAGCCGCGCGAGAGGCGTTTCTGATCAAGTGTCTTGGCTTCTCCATCGCGCAGATTGGTCCATCAAAATCAAATTCACGCGAATGGTCTCGTCAGACTCCCTTTGATTCACAGCCATCTCCGCTACTACCCCCATTCCACATTTCCCCTGTATTTCAAATTTAATGAAAAGGGTTCACCCAGCTTTTTTCCAAATGTCTCTACTTTGTGGAGCAGGCTCCCACGTGGGTGCTCCCTACAGTATTACAATCTTAATAATGGTTTAGTGATACAATTTCTAATTAACCCATGGCTAGTGGAGGAGAGGTGGATTTATACGTTCCCCAAGCTTATTTGTGCATTAACGAAACCAACCGGAATTGGAACTCGACTCTCCGATTAACAATTCCATGCCATTATCAATTACACCATCCGCACATCCAAGCTTACAGCACCTGTCATTCTCAAGTGATCATCCATCTATGCACTGACAAATAAGGAAAGTGCTAGAGATTTGATTCTACAGAAGGATGCTGAGGAAAATATTGATGAAACATATGAGTAACGAGGGGGTTTATAAGAAAATAGGAAACTCAAGGACTATTATACCTACAATCAGAACGAGAGAGAAGAATTTCGGATACACCTAATGAAGACGGGAGACTTGGAGAATTCAACACTCACGGAGGATATTGAAAACAAGATACGCAAAGGGAAACAGTGTCTTATATGACAACCTTGTGTAAATGGAAGAAATTGTGGAGATCCATGATCGCCGGGGGGGGGAATCTTGTTTTCCAATTAAAGTTTTTTTTTTCTAAATCCCAAGATGTCTGTCGGTAAAATGGCTTTGCGCCAAAACGTTTTGACTCCCATATGTCTGTATTAAAACGGCCCCAGATTTCATTGGGAATCTCGCCAGAGTTCTTGGTTAATTCTTCCAAATCCCCGAAACCTGCAGTCGCAAGCAGAGCAGTGGTGAATCAAATGAAGACATTACGAACATGTCATTGGTACTTCACGTTTCACATCGGCCGTCGCTCGTTGTGATGTCACAGACGACGTGGAGAGGCGCTTGTAAACGACACACAATTGACCCAAATGATGATTGCAGGAAGGAAAAGACACATTTACCGTCTACAGATGCTTAACAGATGGCGAGGCAAAGGGAAAACACAATATGTGAATAGATGCAAATATGTACAAGAGAGCCGAGCGGAGAAGGGAGATGGCGACTTCCTTACTTTGGCTGGCGTATTACAAGTGTAATAATATGCGCTGTCTCACAGTCTTAAAGATAGATAGATAGATAGATAGATAGATAGATAGATAGATAGATAGATAGATATGAACAGACTGAGATAGATAGATAGATAGATAAATAGATAGATAGATAGAAACAGACTGAGATAGATAGATAGATAGATAGATAGATAGATAGATAGATAGATAGATAGATAGATAGATAGATAGAAAAAGAACAGATTGAGACAGCGACAAGCATTAACAGAATAAGATAGACAGATATGAACAGAGATAGATAGATAGATAGATAGATAGATAGATAGATAGATAGATAGATAGATAGATAGAAAAACAACAGATTGAAACAGCGACAAGCATTAACAGAATAAGATAGACAGATATGAACAGAGTGAGTAGCTTAGATGTGACACAAGTCCGAAAGTATGGAGCACTCACTAAAGGTCGAATTCACTACTCAGTCATAATTGATCTGGTGAGTCAAGCTTGCTAACCATTACACCACATTCGTTAAAACCAACTCCCACCCACCCCGTATTAAAGAATTAGCAAGAGTCTTAGCCGTAAATATTGATAAGACTTTTTGCATTTTGTTGTTTCATTATTTTTTATTAAAAACATTGTTTTCTTCCTGAGATAGATAGATAGATAGATAGATAGATAGATAGATAGATATGAACAGAGTGAGATAGATAGATAGATATGAACAGAGTGAGATAGATAGATAGATAGATAGATAGATAGATAGATAGATAGATAGATATGACACTTGAGTAAAGAATTAAATATATCAAAGCTCTCTTTATATCATTCCAAATAACTTACAGATTCAAAGAACTACTGAACTGCCATTTGTCTACATTTAATGAAAATTTCAGAAAAATTGGACTTATATTTTTTGAGATATCGAAGTTTTAATTTTTTGCTACTTAATTTTGGATGCTACTTTCTATGTAGAAACCATAAATTCATTTAAACGTATTTCACAGAATTTGATTGGTAATGTTTGTTGATTAATTTTTTTTTTTTTTTTTGTGAATTTTACAAATCGACGAATAAGTTGTCGTCAATCCAGATAAAAACTATGATAAAACTCTTCCAGCTTAAACGCCACGGTTTTCGACCATCACTAGACATTATAAAAGAAACGTGTCATTTTGCTATATACAAAAGGTTCGATTAAATTTATTCCCAGCATTTTTGAAAAACGTTTTAATTGTATTGTTTTTTTTTTTATTTTAAATGTAAGAAACAGTGCGAATTTTTTATTTCTTTGTTTTTCTGGCCGTAGCAATAGACTCACCCGTTAAGTGTGGCAACCTGGTTTCACTAGAGAATAATGAAAAATTTGGTGTGAGCAAGTATCCTGTTAGCGTAGAAGTTAATTTTGAAAATTGAAATTATTTTTTTGTAATCACACACACACACGGACGCGTACACACAGAAACATATACATATATCCATGTTCTAGTAGGTGTCAATTCCTTTCAAGATGGAGGCGATCGTGGGTCGCCACATCTCCATTGTTAAATTTCCTCAATTTGTGAAAACTGTCATTATTTTATTCATTAATATATAGGTACCTAATAATGAATAAAATAATATAGTTCACTAAAGAGACACGGTAGACTTATGGATAGCGGCTCGGATTGAGGAATTGGAATCCATTACATTCACTTACGTGTTAATACCCTTGGGAAAGGTGTAAATCTTTCCCCCAGCTATGGGTAAAAAGTAGGATAGACCGAGTTCTATAGCCTTGAATGGCAACTGGTCTACCGCAGAAAAAAATAGCAACCTACTGCGGGAAAAATCTGCCTCGTCAGTCGTGTACCGAAAGATTCATGATCGCCTAAGCGTGTATGACACATGACACATAACTGACTGATAGTTCCCTAACGCAAGCTGAATAGTAAAACTCCAAGCCAAATGAAATAAAATAAACAAATAATGATTTGTTAATATTTCTAACAGACACAGTGAATGAAAGAAATCAAGTTACTCTTTTATTTTCTAGTTGGTTTAAAAGGCAAAGCAAAATTTAGCAATATTTAAACTTGTCCGAAAAACAAAAAAACATTAATTTTCTTCCTGCCATTCATTCGTCCCTTTCCGATCAGAAGTAGAAGTTTCTCTGTTGATTCTAGTTTAATGAAAACTCCTCACGGCTCACATATTTTGTCTATGGTATTAACTTAACTTTCATAAGCAGAGCCACATCTCTCTACTATACTGCATTAATTGTTAAAAAAAATGCCTACAAATACAATGAGCCTTAATTATAAAAGCAAACTATCCATCATCAAGGAAGTTTCGTTAAAATTTCAGAACAAACGTACTAGCCACATTTCAGAATTATAACGAAAAATAACGATACAACACTAGAAACCGAAGCGTGAAAAGGCAATGAAAACACTGGGATAGCAACAAGGAAAGATAATATATATATATATATATATATATAGATAGATAGATAGATAGATAGATAGATAGGATTAATACAAACACAGAATTTGTTATTTAGCTGATTGATGTTATTTTCAACATCCCGATTCTAGAGTTTCGTAGACAGACGCTCCAGCAATTGCTCCGTCCACTCGTCAGGAGATATTACCAATATATATATATATATATATATATATATATATATATATATATATATATATATATAGAGAGAGAGAGAGAGAAAAGAGGTAAAGAAAAGATGTGTTTGGTAATACAGAGAGCTCAATGTAAAAAATAGATCAAATATTAATTTTATTAAGAAACAGAGAACTTTAAGGGTTCATTTATATATATATATATATATATATATATATATATATATTCAAGCATTTTCCTTTGCTCAGGCCTTATTGGTTCCCAACTTATCAAGCGCTTTTTAAGCACGTTTTTTTTTTATATTACTTTTTTTCCCATAAGTAATCATGATTTTTTGGCCATATGGTTGCTTGGTTGATTTTGTTTAGAGGCATATCAACCTCTGTGGGTGATTTAATGCCAAAATCTAAACATTTTATACGTAATTTTATGCTTTCAGAGTAAAGGTATGTTTTATTTTAGATATATAATTTGTAGATCATGCATTGTTGGTAATTTTACTATAAAACCGTATTTATATTTTTCTAGTGTTGCATTGATTGTCATTTTGCTATAAAAATGCATTTTTGCTTATTTATTTACAAAAATGTACTGCTGATTTTTTGCGTGGGGGGGTCACTATTTGCCCATAGCTGGGACCCTAACAGGTGCTACTACGTGGTGAGTTTGGTTTTACACATCAACATCAACTATCTCGTTGTAACATCTTGAACTTGCCGAGGTGGGTTTAAAATGCTCATTTTCACAAATAACAGTTGTCGACTACCTGATGATTGCACGAAAACGCATGAAACTTTTAGTTGTAGACGGTGGTTCTTCACTGAGAATTCATACATATATATATATATATATATATATATATATATATATAGAGAGAGAGAGAGAGAGAGAGAAAGAGAAGAGAGAGAGTAAGACAAAAGCGGTAAGATATAATAATTTATCAAGACTGCCACCCAAGAAAGATAATTATTATTTTTAAATAGAATAACTTTAAAAATAAACGTATTTCGATAATAGTTTCCATGTGTGAAATAAAGGAATTCTTCCTTTGGTGTATTGCTTATAACCAGGTTCGTTTTCGCGATCAAACATCTGATTATTTGCTAAATTTAGACCTGCCTCAAAGACAATTTTGGTTCTCGTTAAAGAACGGGGACCCTATGTTGAGTCTGGACCTTTAGGTCTCTCTATTATCGTCCCATTTGCCGAGTGACAGCCGACAGCTGAAGTATACAATCATTTTAACATCCCAACAAACACCGGAAGACGGTCCCTCCTCCTCCTCCTCTTCCTCCTCTTGCAGATCTGGAATTCGGACCTACCAGACCGCAGGATATAGGAACGATCTTTGGTAAAAGCCTCTTTGCTTCAGTAATGACAGATATCCCCGCTTTTTAATGTATATTAGAATATTATTGTACGTCCCGTCGTGAAGCTATGGTTAACAAACTGCTCCCCAAGATGATTTCTATTAAAACAAACAGAGCGCCTCACCCATTTAGCCTTGTGCCTGACTGGACTAAAGTCAGTAAATCTTCCTATATGTACCGTGTTTCTTTAAGACGTGGGTGATCATGGCTCTTCACTACTTCCTATCCTTTTTACCTGTTAGCAATGTTTGTCTTTTTACTATCTCCCCAGTCCCTCTTCTGTCATCCATTTACACAAGATTGTTATGTAGGTTGATCATGGCTCTTCACTACTTCCTATCCTTTTTACCTCTTATTATTAGCCCTTTCAGTCCCTCTTCTGGCATCCATTTTAACAAGCTCGTTAAGTTGATCGATGATGGCTCTTCACTACTTCCTATCCTTAGTAGCTTTTCACAGTATTTGTCTTACTATTTTCACAATCCCTCTTTTGCCATTCATTGACCCAAGATTGTTATGTCGGGTGATCATGGCTCTCCACTACTTCCTATCCTTTTTACCTCTTATTATTAGCCCTTTCAGTCCCTCTTCTGGCATCCATTTTAACAAGCTCATTAAGTTGGTCGATGATGGCTCTTCACTACTTCCTATCCTTAGTAGCTTTTCACAGTATTTGTCTTACTATTTTCACAATCCCTCTTTTGCCATTCATTGACCTAAGATTGTTATGTCGGTTGATCATGGCTCTCCACTACTTCCTATCCTTTTTACCTCTTAGCAAGGTTTGTCTTTAATAGACCTCTCATTCCCTCTCCTGGCATCCATTTTAACAAGCTCGTTAGGTTGGTTGATGATGACTCTTCACTACTTCCCAACCTTTGTAGCTCTTAGCAATCTTCGTCTTTTTAACAACTAGCCTATATTGAATTCGATCTTTCTAAGAAAGTATATCTACACAACCACGGGAGGGGAAATCTCTCATGAGATGCAACAGAACAGGGGCATTTCTCGAGGGATATCTTGCCAGACGCAAGACAATTAGTCTTTTAAATTATTTTTCTGTTGGTCTACCGTACGTAATTTTAACAGCTAATCTCTAAGAAAGGTAAAAACTGTGGAGCAAAAATTGATAACTTTGCCTTTGAAACTTGGCGGAAGCAAGAAGTGGGTAGGAATTGGGGTTAGGACATTTTAAGGCTAGAGTAAAAAAAAAATGTGGAAGGGTTGATAGATTAGACGAATTCTGGAACAAGTGAAGGACACCAGCAAGTCAGCTGGAAAAAGTTATGAGACACTGATAAATATTAGCGCCTAATTCGCACATTTTCCGTCCATGTCGAATGGCTGGTGTCTGCCTTAAGTTGACGTTTAAAGAAATTATCTTCCGCGTCAGCAGCCTGAAATGCCAGGACGTCTGCGACTGGAATTGGCCGTTTTTCATCTACATTCCTTCTCTCTTCTTCACTTTTATCTTTTACTTTATTTCTCTCTCTCTCTCTCTCTCTCTCTCTCTCTCTTTCTCTCTCTCTCTTTCCCTCACCTTTCTCTCTCTCTACCTCACTTCTCTCTCTCTCTCCCTCACCTCTCTCTCGTTCTATTTCGTTTTTCTTTCATTTTTTCTTTCTCTCTCTCTCTCTCTCTCTCTGTCTCTCTCTCTATCTCTCTTATTCCCTCGGTTTTCTTTCCTTTTTTAATTTATTTCTCCCTCTTTTCTTTTCTTTTTTTGCTTTTTTATTCTCTCTCTCTCCCTCACCTTTCTCTCTCTCTCTCTCTCTCTCTCTCTCTCTCTCGTTCTATTTCGTTTTTCTTTCATTTTTTCTTTTTTTTCTTTCTCTCTCTCCCTCTCTGTCTCTCTCTCTATCTCTCTTATTCCCTTCGGTTTTCTTTCCTTTTTAAATTTATTTCTCCCTCTTTTCTTTTTTTGCTTTTTTATTCTCTCTCTCTCCCTCACCTTTCTCTCTCTCTCTCTCTCTCTTATCCTCTTTCCTTTTTGAATCTATTTTTCACTTTCTTCCTTTTCTATTTTCATTCTATGTCTTTCTTTCTTTCTTTCTTTTTTCTCTCTTTCTAACTCTCTCTCTCTCTCTCACTCTCTCTCTCTCTCTCTCTCAAACACAATCTCTCTGTTATTCTCTTTCGGTTTTCTTTCCTTTTTAATCTATTTCTCCTTCTCTTCGTGTTTTCTTTTCATTCTATTCCTTTTTTCTTTCTTTCTTTCTTTCTCGTTCGTTTTTCTTCCCTTTTTTAATCTGTTCTCTCTCTTTCTCTTCCTTTTTCCTTTATCTCTCTTCTCTTTTATTGTTTCTATACTACTTCCTCCTTTTTCTTTCTGTCTCATTTTCTCTCTCTCTCTCTCTCTCTCTCTCTCTCTCTCTCTCTTTCTTCTTTTTTTTCTCATTTTTATCTATTTCTCCCCCTTTCCTTATTTTTATTATTTTCAGTTCTATTTCTTTCTTTTTCATTTTTTTATTTCTTTTTTGTATTATTTCTTTCGCTTTTTTCCTTTCTTATCTCTCTCGCGCTCTCTCGATTTCTCTCTCTCTCTCTCTCACTATCTATCTTTCTTTCTCTCTCTCTCACTATCTATCTTTCTCTCTCTCTCTCTCTCTCTCTCTCTCTCTTATTTTTCTGTCTCCTCACCCTTGATATTTCATTGTTTTTTTCTTTCTTTCTTTCTTGAAACACCGGTTCCCATACGATCGCCAAAGTTAAGCAACGTCGAGCCAAATCAGAACCTAGATGGGTTACCGCTTGGGAGAACCTGGTACTGTAATCTGCGGGTGGTGTAATGGAGCCGAGTTCAACTCCCGTTGTGTTCGTTATATTCACTTACGTACAAATATTCTTAAGAAAGTCATGAATCCGCCTCGTCTAATCCAGTTATACTTTAATTAGTAAGATTTGTATCACGAAATCATTATTATCTAAAAAAAAATAAATCTTACAGGGTTGATAAGACGTAAAGAACGAATCAACCTTTCCTTTATTTTTAAATTTCTCTTTCTCAACTTTTCACTCCTTCTGCCTTTGTCATTTTTTTTCGGATATTATTCACTTCCTCTTCCTCTCGTTTCGCCGATTCCCCATTAATCTCTCTCTCTCTCTCTCTCTCTCTCACACACACACACACACACACACTCACTCTTTATCCCCATTCTCTGTCTGTCTGTCTGTCTCTCTCTCTCTCTCTCTCTCTCTCTCTCTCTCCTGCTTCTCTCTCTGGCTAAGTAACTCAATTCGCAACTTTTAACCATCATGGGCTTAGTTTTTAATCTTTCTTTCTTTGCACGCTTTTTTCTTTTCAATCTTTCTTTTTTTTCACTATTTCTTTTTTTATTCTTTTTTCTTTACACCCTTTCTTTCTTTTCAATCTTTCTTTTTTTTTCACTTTTTCTTTTTTTTAATCTTTTTTTCTTTACACCCTTCTTTCTTTTCAATCTTTCTTTTTTTCACTATTTCTTTTTTTTTTCTTCTTTTTTCTTTGCACCCTTTCTTCCTTTTCAATCTTTCTTTTTTTACAGTTTCTTTTTTTTAATCTTCCCTTCTTTGCACCCTTTCTTTCCTTTCAATCTTTCTTTCTGTTCACTCTTTCTTTTTTTCACTATTTCTTTTTTTTATTCTTTTTTCTTTGCACCCTTTCTTTCTTTTCGATCTTTATTTCCTTGCAATCTTTCTTTCTTTTTTTTTCACTATTTCTTTTTCTAATCTTTTTTTCTTTACACCCTTTCTTTCTTTACACCCTTTCTTTCTTTGCACCCTTTCTTTCCTTTCAATCTTTCTTTTCGCTCTATCGCACTCCACCGTGCAAATGTTCGTGTTTCCCTTATATTCTCTCTCGTCTTTTTTTTTTTAATTTCTTCTGTTTTTTCTTCTTTTTTTTTTTTTTTTTTTTAAACTTTGATTAATTCAATGCCTCCAACTCAATTCTTTCTCCCTTCTCCATCCACTATTTCACCCCCCCCCCATCTCTCCCGGATCCGCAAATTTTGTTTCTTCTTTTTCTTCCTCGCCCTTCGACCTGGTAGCTTTTGTATTTGTTTATTTCATTGTCCCTAATAGTTGTTTGCAATGTTTTTTTTTTGTTTTTTTTTTAATTCAAAGCCAGGACCCTCTCTCCATCCAAAAAAAAAATTCCATGAAGGTAACATCCCTCACACCCCGCAACACATGAAACCGGCTAAGATACGAGGTGTACTGGAAAGCTCTCGGTTCTGACCCACTTCCTAAAATCTAACCCAATATTAGAATTTTGGTGGGGCTTCTTGTTCGGAACAAGAGCTTTCCAATACACTATCGTAGATATTTGCTAGGGTTACCCTTGCCTAACACAAGATAAATTCGAGAAAGTGCTGAGCCAATCTTTCGTCATTGGAAATCAATATTCGAAATCGTATTTTTACCTCGGCTTGATCCAACAATGATTGCGGAATAATGAAACCAAAAATGCTATCATTAGCTTTTCTGTGGCTCCTTTTTTTTTCTTTTTTTTTTTTTTTACAATGATGTTCGTCCTGCCCAACGACCGGGAGCCACTCGAGGTAGAGGGTTACAGTAAGAAGCACGGATACGTGGGAACGGTTAACCGTAAAGTTGAACGGATTAAATCTGTAGTGATTGAGGAAGCATCCTCTTGGGAGTCGGTTCTACAAAGCAGTGATCGATGGGTCAAAGCTGCCCGAGTGTAACTTACATCTCACCAATGGAATACAAAGAAAATGAGGGTGATTCGCTATAATAGCCCTCAAGCTGCCAAGAAGGAGAGAAAGGCTCTTGATCGGCACACAAAAAATAATTAAGTATGGAGGAAAGAAAGTGAATATAATTACAAGTGATCTGAAGTTACTGAACTTATCTGAAGTTTTGAAAGACCGAGAAAGAATTTGCTATCCACAGCTATAACGAAGCCATCGATCGGGTCCACCGACGACATGGAAAAAATGCTGCATATGTGGATGAAAGATTTGATAAAGTCTGTTTGATACTTTTGGGGAAAGGTACGAATCCTCTTCTTCTAAAAGCTATGGGTAAGTAACAGGAGAGACCAGGTTCTATAGCCTTGGATAACAACTGGTCTACCGCAGAAAGAAATGGCAACCTACTGCAGGAAAAAAATCTACCTCGTCAGTCATGCATCGAAAGATACATGATCGCCTAAGCGTGTATCACGCATGGCACGTAACTGACTGAAGAAGGCAACGTGGAGTAATGGATAGCGGCTCGGATTGTGGAATCGGAGTGCCGAGTTCAAATGCATTACATTCACTTACGTGATAATAACCTTGGGAAAGGTATGAATCTTCTATCTTCTAATCCAGCTATTGGTAAGTAGTAGGGCAGACCGGGTTCTATAGCCTTGGATGGCAACCACAGAAAGAAATGGCAACCGACTGCGGGAAAAAATCTGCCTCGTCAGTCATGTATCGAAAGATGCATGATCGCTTAACCGTGTATCATGCTTGGCATATAACGGATAAAGGAGTCCGACGGAGCCAAGATTTTGTAGCAAGTACTGTCTAAAAAATTCAAGAGAAGATTCCAAATTAAGATTAAGTTGGTAAATGCTGTTATAACCATTACCTTCATTTTGTCTTTGGTGTCACAATAAGTTTAATTGGTCTCCCACACAACTGCAAACCACACATAATAATTAAGGGGGTTGAAGTCTGGGGAGTTAGGTGGTCAGTGGTGATGTGGTCGCAGATATTGTCTGCCAGCCATAAATGAGTTCTCTTGCTTGTGTTGCATGGTGCAGAGTCCTGTTACCGGATATAGGGTCTTCCAGCAGTCACCCTCTTGACCCAGGATACTACTACATCCTAAAGGCACTTGATGTAGGCTTGATGATGAATAGAGGCATAACTTCGCCATCACTCGTGATCACTACAAAAAACATTTGTAAACACCATTAGACTCATCCAACTTGTTATGAATCCTCTGCATTGTCCTCGGAGTGACACCCAAAGACTCTAAAATGTTCGTATTTAAACTACCGGCACGAATGCCAAGCCGTACAGCATGTCGTTCTAGTGGAGTGAATTGCGTCAAGGTGCTTTTTTTTTTTTCTTATCTTACTATACTGTGCAGTTGACAAAATCAAAAACAAACTACGCGGAAATTAAAAGTATAAAATGACGACAATTTACCCATCGCACACTGTGTGCGTGTTGTGTAATATTGCAGCAATGCAACTAAGAACCAAGCAAGTGAACATAATATGTGGTATTACCATGGCGTTGTAGGTAATGTTTCAATTAAAGTAAACAGACTTTGCTTGACTCCAGGCCATCCTTTGTTGGTGCTGTGTCTGAGGGATGTCTCCTGTTGTCACAGCTGCACAGAAACACACACACACACACACATATATATATATATATATATATATACCCCACATGCATACTCATATATATATATATATATATATATATATATATATATATATATATATATATATATATATATATAGTTAATATTAGTGGTAAATATACACATACATATGCAAAATATATAAATATATATACATAGGTGCATACACATACATGTATATTTTTTTAATAAAAAATTCCAAGAGGATAGAATCCAGGTAGAACTCAATGTCCAGGACAGAGTAAGGATATAATAAAAAGGCTCAAACACTAATATTCCATGGTCATAATTTATTCCATTGGAATCGTAAATACGATCCAATTCATCAGACCTACAAATTCAAAAAGAAAACAGAAAAAACAAATCCGGGAATAAAAACAGAATTTAGAGAGAGTGTAAGTATGAGAGTGTGGGACGAACGTTAGAGTAAAGGAAACTATAGAGAGGGGTAAACTGTTTTATATATATATATATATATATATATATATATATATATATATATATATATATATATATATATATATATATATATATATACATTCACGGTGGAGGAACAGTGGAGTAGTGGATAGCGACTCGAATTAAGGAATCGGAGAGCCGAATTCGAATTCCAGTCGAAGTCATTACATTCAGTTGCAAAAGGTATTAATCCTCTTCTTCTCCCTCCAGTTATGGGTAAAAAGCAGGACAGAATGGGTTCTATAGCCTGCTCTAGGAGAAGGACAACTCTGAATTCAAACCCTGTAGAGGTCTTTTGGTGACCATGTGATACGTAATGCACCAAGTCTCTCTACTCGGCCTTAAAAAAGTGTGTTTCTTTCTGCACAAATCCTTCACCACTATAATCAAATCATATATGCTGGTGTCTGGGATGTCGGTTCCTAGGAACTGTGCTATTTGAGCCTCATACGTCGAATATGACGGAAGAGTCCGCCATATATATATATATATATATATATATATATATATATATATATATATATATATATATATAAAGAAAGAACAGTAAGATATATAATCCGGTGTTCTTATTGATATTTTTATTTATTTTTTTATTTTTACAAAATAGTGCTCAACGTAAATTTACAGAGCATTAATATTATAAATTAACTGATTTAAAATATGTTTTTTTTCGCTACACAGTAATAACCATGTTTCAAAAATGGAAGCTAAAAGCTTCAAATTTAATTTTGTAATTAAATTAAAAACATTAGTTTCATTTCATCCTCAAGCGAATTTTGGAGTGACTTATTTTTAAATTTACTGAGTTTTAAAGGCACAGAAAAATTCATAATTCACTGTTTCTAAGGATACAGGGAGATCCAACCACTCAGACAAGCGGTGGTAGCGTGTTCATTTTTTATTAACTTTTGTTGTATCAGTTATTAGTTACGTTCGAAAAAGGGGTTAT